AGGTCAGGACTTTATGAAAAGGTATCAACCAGGTGCGAGACCATAAGCAGCACGTATCCAACGGGAAGCTACAAAAATTGACACAGCTAAAAATATATCAATCAATCAATTTTATTTATAAAGCCCAATATCACGAATCACAATTTGCCTCACGGGGCTTTACAGCATACGACATCCCTCTGTCCTTAGGACCCTCGCAGTGGATAAGAAAAAACTCCCCCCAAAAAACCCTTTAACAGGAAAAAAATGGTAGAAACCTCAGGAAGAGCAACTGAGGAGGGATCCCTCTTCTATCTATAGCAAATCTTCAGTTGGTTTGTGAAAGTTGGTGAAACTGATTACAAACAGCGACCTCTGGAACTTTAAATTAAAAAATCTTTTTGTTTTTTATATATAATTTAACCATTTGCAGTAAAACACATATATTTCACATTACCATTAATCAAGGGATTCCATATAATGTGTAAGAAGCATCATACGTATGCAGTTACTTGCACTGGCATTGGTTTTACATGGTACTTTTGTTAGGTTACAGTTGCCACACTATAGCCCTTTTTAAACAGGAATTGTGCAAATTTGCAGGAAAGCCCAATCAGCCTTCTTTAGCATTGGCAGTATAAAAACAAAACTGGGGAGTGCGGCAAAATGCCACCTACTTACTTTTGTTTATACAGAGTGCGCCTTTTTCTGGGCAATGGGGGGCGTGAGCAAGTAACGAGACGTGTAGCTCAGTGTGTGATGTAAACAGTGACGTGGGAGGGAAGCTGCGACTAGTCAGTCCTTCGGCAATTCTCTCATAAGTTGGCCCGTTCTTCATTGTCCTTGTCATCTTACGGTTAATGGCCTCCTCGTTTGCGAGGGCAAGGAGGGCGCACAATTCCTTGTCTCCTCAGTTGCTCATCTTTACAGTGTCTTTCAGGTTTGCGTTTCCCGTTGCGGAAGGCCGCCTCAGTCTTTTAAAACTAAAAGGGTTCCGCCAATATGACTACCCTACGAGGTGGAAAATTGGGCACCTCGGATCAACTCGCCAATCTGGCTCTTTGTGTCTAAACGCTCGCAGCTTGCCAGCAAAACAGCCCAACATTCGTGGAAAATCTGGCAGTGTAAAAGGGGCTAAAGTGACAACAAATAAGTTACCTCACTCAAGAAGGCTTCTCTGATTTTTACTATAGTGAACTAAATAAAAACCTGTGTCAGCCTGGAGGAAAAGAAAAACACATCTGCCTATCTTTAATTATATGCTATGCCTCTGAAAATTGTTGCTATTTGTGATAGTATTCTGTGATTCATAGAAAAAAAAGCTGCAGAAATGCAAGAACACTGACACTGTCCTTTAAATGTGAAAAGACGTACTATGTGCGGTTGAGTCATCGCAGATGATACAAATAGCAAAACAAAGGCAAGGATTTGCAGCTGTTACTGAGAGAAACAGATTATCTTAATTCATCTCTGATAGACCCTGTCAAACGCTGGGAGCACACTTACATCCTATTAGTAAGCAGCGGAGCCTGAGGGATGCAACAAATTGACAGGCTATCTAGTATTTATAATATTAAGGAACATGGCAATATGAACAACAATTGTCATTACCTATGTTTGCGTTTCCTCCTTTGAAGTTTTTCTTGTCCTCTTGGGCTTTCAGTCTTAACATGAGCACATACAGTGGTGGCAAGGTCTGTCTAAATATAACTCCGCTTGACAACAAGCTGGAACAGTAGATACCCTTTTACTTTGAAGAATTCCAATTACTGTCACTGTTTCCTCAGTGTGTGTGTGCTCATATGGGTCTGTGTGTGCAGTAGACATGAAACTGAGATGTGTGTCTGTGTATACTGTATATTTATGTATGGATGTGTTAAGTGCGACGCGCTCTTGTAAAATGTAACCTGAGCACATTACAACACACGGATCTGCCACATAGCAGCGTGTGTAATTCTGCAGTATTTTACAGTAATTATTTATTCAAGTGATGTAAAGGCTGTCCACAGAGTTGACCATCATCGTCTTCTGTTTTGCTTCCATAATGCATCAGTAATGGTTTTTAGTCACGCTCTCAGAAAGAAAATACAACAACAACAAAAAAAGCTGTGCCCAGGTCTGCTCCATTTAAGTTTCTTTTATTGCAACGTGGAACATCAGTGATTGTAGTAGCATCAGTGGGGATATCAAGGTATAACAGTACCTTGCACTTCATCACAGGACTTAGAAGAGAAAAGGCCATTTTAGATCTAACTAATCATCAATAAAATGATAAACGGTACATCATCCAACAAAGCAAACACAGGGAAGTGAAGAAAAACTACAAGACTCTCAAGAAAATCTCATGAGGAAAGAAATGGAAGACACCTGGTATGTGCCAGGTTGTCTTTATCTGTGTGGCTTTGTTCTTTGAAGCAGACAGTATGTACCTGTACTGATGACTAGAATTTTACTCAACTTGACATGACATGGGCCAGAGGACTTTTTAGAATAGACTGTGTCATCCTGTAGAGCAGCAGTTCATTGTAGAGCTGGGAGTTATTTCCTTCAACACACTGTGAATCAACCATGAAATCAATAGACATCAGCTGCAACAAGGAAGTGAAAGAGCAGTAATTACTTGCTGTAGACTAGCCAGCTTGCAGTAAAAATGGATATCCTACCCTGGTTAGATATGTCGTATCCTTTCTTCCTCATGGCCCTGCTCTTGAAATTGGTTTTGCGCAGCAGATCTGTGTGGCCAAGTTAAAGGTGGGTGGGTAACTCATCCAAGCTCAGTGGGCCAGCACACCTCACAGAACGCCCCTCATGGTGGATCTGTGGAGCATCCAAGATATATCACCCTTAACACAAAAGAGCCAATCTGGATTCAATTACAAAGCCAGGGGAGAGGGCTATTTATATCCAAACTCTCAGGCCTGCAAGACGGACGAGGTCACAGTACAGTTTGTAATTAACAGTTCACCCTCATTGACCTTAGAGTTGTGATTTACAGTACACAACACAAATAGCTTCATGTCAAGCTGCCGTCTGGCATGGTTGGGAGGTTACATATGTATAGGTTATTAATATTAGTAGTGTATGCTTGCTTCCACTACACATGCACAACACCCAAAAGACCCTGATGTTAAAACAGTCATGTGATGAGTCACACAGTGGGTCCCATCACCAGCTGCTCATACAGACAAACAACGTCAACGTAGTGTATATTAATTTAAAGACAAACAGTAAAGCAAACATTGTGAATGTAAATAAAATGAATTTAAGTGTAATTAAAGTGCTTGTGTGCCTTTACAATATGTGTACACATGATAATAACTAGCAAACCATAATAATTAATAATAATTCAACCATGATAAATTTAATCATATAGACTTTTAATGTATTCTCATACCATGGCTGGTATGATATCCTACAAGTTAGCGCCCCATGAATGACATTACATATTCAACATAAAGTTATGTACTTAAAGTAAAGTTGATGTAAAGTAGATTGATGTAAAGATGTAGGTTAGCTAAACTTTTAGGTTTAGGCACATGTTGCATAGGTTAGGTTTAGGAAGAGAAACATGGTGACGACGTACCGTAAAATGAAGGTGAAGACCGGTCTCCTGTGGGAAAGTTGTGTGTTTTGTGACCCATTATCGACTCCAACCTGCCTCCTTACGGGGACCGCTTCCTTCTTCACTCCTGTCAGTGCAATGGTCACATGATCAAAGCCATACCAAATGCATGGGTTATACACAAACTATTACGTGGTACCATGATTGCGTGGGATATGTATGATTTTTGTTGCACTGCTTTTCATAGGAAATGTATGAACAGTGCATGAGAACACCCTGACACTATAGAGGTTACACATAAATGTCACGATAGGACATTGATGTTAACTTGGACAAATTAATGAGTCTAAGAGTTTGATTTATAGAAAATGGATTATGTTTGTACCATTTTTATTTTGTTGGATGACTGTAATAGACATAGATAGTGTGTGCTTTGGAAAGGGGCCTGGTGCCTGTTGCATCTTATTTTTTGAAGTCTTGGCAAAACAGAAGGTCTCCTTTGTAATGTGCTTTGCTAGACAGCTGGGTTTTAAACAGAGGGCCCATACTGACCAAAAAAATTACTGTTTGGTAATTTAAATTTTACTTTTATTGTTTTTTTCTCCCCAAATTAAGATATATCTGAAAATACACATTAACATGAATTCAACGAATTATCAGCAAAGTCAAATTGGCCACTTTTTAAAAAAAAAGAAACAACAAAAAACAAACAAAAACATTTAATTTACAGTATACAACACTGATGCTAGCCTGCTAACTGTTAGCTAGCAATCATGTTAGCTAGCTAACACCAAATCACAGCACAGCACCTGTCCATAACAAGCATGATGTATAAACATATGAATCTGCCACAAGTATTATTTTAATAGCTTAGTATTGTATGCACCATAAATTGATATGGTTATTTATGGCACTTTAGGCCCAGTTTAATATGCAACTCAGTTTTATACAATCTATGTAGTAGGGGGTCCCTGCTCCGTTTCTCTTTCAGTTAAGGGGCCAATGGCCTGAAAAACATTGAAGACTCCTGCTCTACAGCATGCACTGTATAATGCAATGTGATGTACATATTAAGGCTGAGGCAAATACTCAGATGAAACAAGTACCTGGTACGCATATTGTACTTTTTTCAGCATGAGTGTCATCCGAGTAAAATGGGTCAATATCTGTACTAGTGATAAAGGAAAATCCTTATTTTGGTAACTGTGTTCATTGTCTTTCTCTTGTGACCAAAAATGATCTGAAGCTTAATTCTGAGGCTGTTCTGTAATTAGTTTTAAAATAAAAAAATTAATATAGCAACTTCTGATCAACTTATATTATGTCTGGCCTGACTTGTAGTGTTGCCCTCTGTCTGATGTTAACAACAGTCAGCTAGAGAATTTTATTATATTCTGACTACAGCATTCTCTCTTTCACCGTCCCATCTCTGCCTTTCTCCATTTCTCTCTCCATTAAGGTTTTACTGGGACTTGACCATGCTGCTGCTGATGGTGGGCAACCTCATCATCATCCCCGTAGGCATCACATTCTTCAAGGACGAGCACACGCCCCCCTGGATTGTGTTCAACGTGGTCTCCGACACCTTCTTCCTCATGGACCTGGTCCTCAACTTCAGGACGGGTATCGTCAAGGAGGACAACACGGAGATCATCCTGGATCCGCAACAGATCAAGATCAAGTACTTGCGGAGTTGGTTTGTGGTAGACTTCATCTCCTCCATCCCTGTGGACTACATCTTCCTCATCGTGGAGACGCGCATCGACTCCGATTTCTACAAGACGGCGCGCGCCTTGCGGATTGTCCGCTTCACTAAGATCCTCAGCTTGCTGCGACTCCTGCGCCTCTCTAGACTCATTCGCTACATCCACCAATGGGAGGAGGTAGGAAAGTGCACCTCAGTGTGTTTAATGTATGTGTTGTGCTGAATCTTGCCCACTTTTCTGTATGATGTGTATGATGCTACCCATTATGTAGGTGCTATTTTGAGCTGGCCTTGGAAAAGTGGAATCATGTGGACAAGTGGATTCACACAGAGAGAAAAAGACTGAGATTCAGAGAAAATACCAGGGAAATTACAATGATTGACAATCATACAAGCATTCTATTTGATGAGGCTAGTCAAACACATAGGGCTTCACTCCTTAAATCCATTTATAATCCAAATGGTATTTCCATGCTGGGGAATTACTGCAAGTGTGTTTGCAGAACTCTGTACTTTCCCTTTCCCCCTGGGAAGGAAATATGGATAGATGCTGCTTCTGATTACATCCACCCTTGAAAGGAATGAAGAGGCTCTTTTGCTGAACCCCAGTCACCAATAAGTTGATGAGGCCGGGATGTTGATTAGCATTTTCTCTCTGTGTGCCCATCCAGCTAGCAATGGGACCACAGAGCTCAGAGAGGCATTGCTGCGACACACGCATGATTATAATTGCGGCAATAATTAGAAAAGTTCCCATTGCTCTCACTGGATGGATCTTGTTGTTTAGTCTCAGAGGTAAAAGGTGCAAAGTGAAGCATCAGAGTCTCAGCATGGAGTCAACAAGAATACACTCCATAGAGAATAATATGGGACAGTCAGGGCTGCTCTGCTGGTCAGTCACAAAATAAAAGAAAACACTGGGTAATTTAATAAATGCAAGCCACGAGTAGGACTACTTCTTGGAGGCTCAGTGCTTCATAATAAACTGCTGTTTGTCATTCCACAGATCCTCCCTAACAATAACCAAAGCCCCCCTACAAGCTTGTATTTCTCAGAGACAATGGCAGTGCAGGGTGGAGGCTTTAGTTCAGGGTTTAGTGTCTCGATGAAGAGTGCTTTGACATAACAAGCGTGTATGGTCATAATACAGATGTTATACTGCTCTGCTGCAGTTCACAGTGTTGTTGATGTCAGGGATCAAAGCAACGTTTTCAGTTACTAGTCAGTTTGTATACCTCCACACCCAGAGGCCATTTAATAGATGGGTTGTGCACTTAACGTAAGCAGACCATATATCTCATTTATTACCCAGTAATGATTTTTGTGCCTGGATACATTTCACCCCATCACTAAATTAATTTTTTCAATTTACATCAAGGCAAGAAATGAAAAGTTATTTTGATGCTGTTTCATATTCTCGCTATTATAGATTTGGATGCTGTTTTGTTTTTGTTTTTTTGCTTATATTTTCTAAATCTACCTCAATTTTGGCATTTATAGTATTGGAAAAATACACATTGTTACTAGTAAACATTTGAAAGGTTCAGTTTCAGTTCACATAAAAAACAAAACTGTTACTCAGGAGATAGAGCATTAGGGTTGTGTACCATTCACATTTGTACTGATACCATCACCAGCAGCTCTGCAGAGCTCTGTTGCTGACTTCCAGTTTGGGGCGTTTCCCAGCATTTCACTTCTTGTCTAAATGTGGAGTTCTCACCCAGATGTGCTCTCATGTACTGGCGCACAAATGGAATTAATCTTTATCGGTAATCAGTAGTACCAACCTACTTCGGTCAGTACCGTTAGAAGTATTGAGTTAGTTGTCTACCATTCGCAAAGTCGGCAGTTTGACCCGTGGCCCTTGCACTCTACATGTCAAAGTGTCCTTGGGCAGGATACTGAACCCCAAATTTGACCCGTTGGCTATGCCATCAGGGTGTGAGTGCACATGATTGTTTATTTGATGAGCAGGTGGCACACTGTATGGTAGCCACAGTTACCTGTGTATGAATGCGTTGGGTGGTCGCTAGAAAAGTACTATATAAATGACGTCCTTTTACCATTCAGTTTGCATAGAGTATACTTGCTCCAGGACAATACATTGGAAAACAGACATCAACAGAACAGTCATTGGCCGCGTTTCCCAGATCGCTCTTAGCGCTAAGAGCTTCTAAAGAACACTCTTAAGCCTCCCGTGAAAGAAAAACGCATTTCCCAGATCGCTCTTAGCTTAAGAAGATCTTTCACTAAGGAGTTGTAAGATCGAGCTGACCCACTCTTAACAGCCTTCTTAGCGACCAAACGCTCACAGCTCCAGCCGCGGCAGGCACATTAATATGACACTAAGCAAGGAGACGTTAAAACAGTGTATATATTTTGTTCTGTTTTATACTTCAGGTTTATATTGTTTAGCATTAATTCATTCTGCAGGGAAACACGTGTCCTGACTGTGCATATTGAATCTTGAATCTATATGTTTTATGAAGACCCTGTGTGCGCTCAAAGCTGTGGCACAAGTTACACACCGAAATCAGGCGGAAGAAAAATAATAATAAGAAAAATAAGAATGAGGAATAACAAGTGTGTTCCTGTATGTGCTGTGCACATCAGGCTGGAAGAGGCACATGTGTCATGCTTGAGGCGCACATTACGCACACTTTACAATGTTACAATTTCATTTAGCAGACGCTTTTATCCAAAGCGACGTACATCTAAGTGTTAATACAACAAAAGCAAGATCTAGTTAGAAGAAAACATCATGATTAAGTGCCCAAAAGCAAAGTTTGAGTCCGATAGGACGTAGGTGCCAATGTAAAACATCTGCAGTCTGTTCAGTCAAGTGCAAAAGTGTTCGCTTTACATATGTCATGAGTAGTCTTTAGGAATAAATCATGAAATTATATCAATTCCCTGGGACCATCTGTGTGTAGATTTGACACCCTTACTTTATAATGTGCAATGTTTCACACAACACATGGCTGAAAAGGAAACCAAGTTTATTCCAACGTAAGATAGCCTAAAGCAGCACCTGGGACCCCTCCCATCACAAGGGTTCTGCATCACCTGCAATGAAGGGAGGTTGTGCAGGTGCAGGTGGTAATAGAGGGCCACCGGGTGAGGCCACCCCGCATGCGGACGCTGGGCCTTGAGCTTGAGAATGTGCAGGGGACGTCTTCGTCAGGCAGGCTGATGCTGAGGGGCAGGTTGGTTGGTTGAGCTGCTCTGGCCCCGCTCCCAGATGGCTCATCCTCACCCGAGTCACTGTGGGATGAGAGACCCTCATACCCGGGGCCATCTATCCCCCCCTCGATGCCCTCAGAGGCGGTCTTGCCAATTATTGACATGACCCTCTCCTCGTCAGGGGTGAGGGTAGTGTCGCCAGGTCCGCCACCACCTGTGCCCTGGTTCTCTCGCCTGGCACTTGCAGTCCTCTTTTTCGTTTGGCTCTGAAACTCCTGCCACTTCTTTCTCACCACCACCCAGTCTCACAGGCCGCAGGGGCTGGAGGCAGCCATTGTTTTCAGCGATGGCCAAATGCGGTTCTTGGCCACTATTTTTTTTCCCCTTTTGTTCCACCGAAGAGTGTGTCCCGCTGCTGCCATACTTCATCCACCAGGATGGTCATCTCCTCTGGGGTGAATGTAGGTGACCGGTTGGCCCGCTTGCGCCCTGCTTCTGCCATTCTGTCTTAATGTGTGCACCTATACCCACAGGTCATTTTATATCTGCATAAATGGATTAGTGCGTTAGGTAGCAGCGCTGTGTGTGACTTATGCGCTGATGAAGTGGTGGGTGATTGATATGCCTGACATCGATTGATTTAGTTTCAGCACCGCTGCAGTGGTCAGCTCCTGTTAAGAGCGTCTTAAAGAGCGATCTTAAGAAGGGCATTAAGAAGGCATCTGGGAAACACTCCAATCTTAGCGACCCTTCTTACCAAAGACGTTCTTAACTGAGCTCTTAAGTCCTAAGATCGCTCTTAACTGGGAAACGCGGCCAATTTAATTTGAATCTTTTTATTTGAGGCCTTTAATTGGGTTTCTGAAACACACACAAGTACATCATTTTGGTTCTTACAGACATATACTATACAGGCAAACCTTAAAATGATTCTGAAACAATGAATTAGATGAAGAACATTTTCAGATCCTTGGCTGGTTGTGTGGACATTTGTCTTAATTTCACATTCACATACTAGCGACACTGTATTGTTATCCATTAATTAGCATGTTTGCACACTGTTGTCAAAATACAGCACCACTCAGTGAGTCAGTAGGTGTGTTCACCTGAGTGCATGGCATTACATGGACAATTGGAAAGGTTGAATAGCAAGCTGATTGCCAATCAAACCACAATATCCCCAGACCTGCCCACAGGCATTCTGAAAAGTTTCTGGTTTTCAAATATTCAGCTGGCACTCTTTGTAGAACAGTGTATATAAGTGTGGCAACATTAATCATGCAAGCCCTCTGTGATGCCATTTCAAAGAGAGGAAAAGTTCAAATAAATCACTGGGGGAGAATCCCTTTGCCACCTTGTGCCTCCATGCACGCCTGCTGCTGTACTTCTGAGCCCAAAATGAAAGCAGGGATACATGCAGTTGAGGCCAGCCTTCATTTGAAAAGGGTGGACAAACTGACAGCGAGCTGTCACATGTTGAGGCTGTGCAATGAGGCAACAAAGAAAGGAGAGGAGAGAGGAGGAAATGATATAAGGAACTAAAAGGAAGGGGGAAAAAGTAAGACAGAAAAAGCAGTGTGGCCTTGCCTGCTGAACTTCCTTATAGACTCTATTGTTAAGTTGTGATGTACCACCGCCCCAGACTAGTCCTGTATTTTAGAAGGAAAGCAAGACAGGAAGATACGGAGAAAAAATAGAGCAACAATTCAAATTCATGTCATCACAAAAACACTACAAAAGACTTTGCAGGACAGTGATGACTTCAGCAGCTAAAAACCACCGAAACAATGGGACAAAGAGAGGGCACATTACACGCACGGAGCCAGCTGCCATTTACATGTTTTATGCCGGTGTGTGTGTGTGTGTGTGTGTGCATGTGTGAGGTTTGCTGATGAATGCTAGTTAGGCAGACAGAGTGAAAGGCCAGCTTTGCCTCAGCGCCAGAGTACTCCAGATGCAACCTCACAGAAATGTCATCTGTCACTGCAGAATAAC